TCTACAAAGAACGAATTGACCTTTGAGGCAACCTTAAGAAAGACTTATGTTAAGCAGTGGAATTTTGATAGGCTATAATGGTCGGTGCCAATGTGCCTGTGAACATCAAGTGAAACATTTTTGTACAAATAAATATCTATGTATTAAAACAGAAATACAGAAACGATGAATATTTCCTTTAGAATGTCTTTAGGTCACCAATTATGTGAACAACTGAAAATACTCACAATTTTGTTCTATTTAAGTTCCGTCGAAATTTGGGCGGTGCTGCAGTCCCTTCAGTGCCAAGTTGACTATCCGTATATCAAACTGCTGAAGTGTTTGTACAGTAGAGCTACGATGGCTATCCGAGTACAGAACCAGAGTACGAAACCTATCCAACTGCAGAGAGGTGTAAGACAGGGTGACGTTATATCCCCGAAACTATTCATCACTGCATTGGAAGAAGTTTTCAAGCTGCTAGACTGGAAAGGATGCGGTATCAACATCAATGGCGAGTACATCACTCACCTTCGATTCGTCGACGATATAGTCCTTATGGCAGAATCGCTGGATGACCTAAGCACTATGCTCAATGACCTCAATAGTGTCTCCCAACGAATAGGTTTTAACATGAACATGGACAAAACAAAAATCATGTTTAACGTCCACGTCACACACATTGTTGACGAGTATGTTTACCTGGGACAAATAGTCCGACTAGGTAAGTCCAACTTCGATTGAGAGGTCAATCGACGGATTCAACACGGCTGGGCAGCGTTCGGGAAACTACGACACATCTTCTCGTTAGATATACCTCAAAACCTGAAAACGAAATTGTACAACCAGTGCGTGTTGCCAGTGATGACTTACGGATCTGAGACGTGGTCCTTCACTGCTGGCCGTATGAGGAAGCTCAAGGTCGCTCGGCGAGTTATGGAGAGGGCTATGCTCGGGGTTTCTCTGCGTGATAAACTTAGAAATGAGGATATCCGCAGTAGAACCAGAGTAACCGACATAGCCCAACGGATTAGTAAGCTGAAGTGGCAGTGGGCTGGCCATTTAGATCAAAGAACCGACAACCGATGGGAAAGAAAGGTTCTTGAGTGGCAGCCTCGTACCGGTAGGCGAAGTGTAGGGCGACCCCCCACGAGATGGAGTGACGACCTGGTAAGACATGCAGGAAGTCGATGGATGCAGGTGGCTCAGGACCGTGCTTTGTAGCATTCCTTGGGGGAGGCCTATATTCAGCAGTGGACTTGTGAAAGACTGTAATGATGATGATGAACTTGTCTGAAACCTTTGACACATTTTCTATAGTAAAATTCATTTTTTCATAGAATTAGGGTGATAAACGAGCACGCAGTCCTTCTGACGGTAAGTGGTTGCTGTGGCCCATAGACATCTACATATATTCTCGATTACGAATCAAAATGCAGATGCGGTGTCACCCGTGAGGAAGATGTAATGCCTCGTTTCCAGTAAAAAAGGGTCTCCGGTTCTATACACTCACCATACGAAACACATCAGTGTCAAAATGCTATTTTACGCTGGTACTCTTTGAGAGCGTGATCCTTCCCCGGTCGAGGCGACCCATTCGTGCTACAACTATACTAGTAATATAGCCGCAGCATGGCGCTACCACGTAAATTAATTAATATCCACGAACGCTGTAGTTACGTTTGTTAAATTATTAATGACTCATTCGCTTTACTTGAGGGTAATGGATTTGTTCCATTCACAGAAGCCACTGGCTACGTTTTAATTTATAACCAAAAGTATGCGAGTCATATGCATAAGTCATGACTAGAAACCAATGTCAAATTTAATAGAGACTACAAAAAAGTTATTTTTTCTAAAATTGAAGTAATTCACTTAGTCCACCTAATGGTAAGTGGTTAGTGCGGCAATGGACAATTATTACACTATTATGCGTTGTTACCTGAATAAAATAAGGAAGGATATAAATTCGTTGTTATCTATATGTATATAATTTAAATAAAAGATCATTTAGAGCGTTGAATATCCTACGCAATAAACCAGAACTTACGATTCTTCGCGCATTTATAAGGGAAATGCTACCGTAGTCATTGATACGTCAGATTATAATTCTAAAATACAAGAACTTTTGTCGGATGTAAGCACTTATTAAAAGGTTAAAAATGACACAACAAATAACACACGTAAGACAACTAGTGACCTTATAAAGAAACACTCCGAAATATTAAATCTGGAAGTAAAATCGATAATAACTACGTGTGCCAAACTACCGAAGTTGTATGAGTTACCAAAATACACAAGCCCAATGCTCCACTACGTCCTATATTGAGCCAAATCGATTCACCAACTTACAGATTGGATCAACACTTAGCGAAAATACTCTCATCGCTCAGGGGACATACAAAAGCACACACAAAGGATTCCTACCATTTTGTCAGCGAGATCATAGATCAACATCTGATAGACAATAAACCTATGCTCAGTTTTTATGCGCAGTCTCTGTTCACATGATTACCTATTGAAGACTGCATCTCAATTGTAACAAGAAGGCTGGAGGAAAACAACATGCCCGTAGAATATACAGTGTTACTCAGACACTGCCTTACATCTAGCTAACTATTGTGGAAGGAATAGTTCTACAAGCAAGAAGATGGTGTGGCGATCACCTGTTTCTCCCATTGTCCCCGATATATTCATAGAAGACTTTAAGGAGAAAGCCCTGCTTACTTCTCCTGTAAATCCAAGATTTTACAAGCGGTATATAGACGACACTTTCACAGTTCTACCATGAGATACAGTAACTGCATTTTTTAGATCATCTTAACTCCATAAATTCTAAAATTCAGTTTATAATTGAGTTAGAGGCAAACAATTCTTTAGCTTTTCTAGATGTGTAGAATCCTGATAACACCTTGAGCCACACTGTGTATAGAAAAAAGAACCATGCAGTTAATACCGTGGGTAAATCTTTGTTTCAGAGATCACGAGGGATCTGTGACAGTAAGCATCTGGCTGCCGAGATCCAACAAGTCAAGCAAGTTTTGCACGACAACAAGCTTCGGGTCCAACGCAGTCTGTGCACATGTAACAGGATCGCCCGTCACTATATTAGATTTAATAGACCACATATCTTCGCTAAAAACACTGATGATTCGTGAGGCTATTGAAATAAAAAAGCATCTGGTTGCTACCATCTGCTTGTGATCCTTTAATTGAGAAAATTAAATCCCAACCCAATTAAACAACTGTAAGATTTCAAGATACTGTACGTTCATACTGCGTAGATCGTAACAAAAATTTATATAATATACGTGAGAAAATCCGTAAAACTAGTGTTATTTAAATGCTATATCTTTCAGAGGAATACAGCAGTACAGGCAAAACTCTTTAGAACCAGAAATAGGTAAGACGGTTTTAACTAACAATATGGACTACGAGGCAGAAAAACAGTGGAGATATAGATTATATCAAATTTCATCGTTATTGTTTTCTGTAAGCTAATTTAGTCGCCCTAATCAAAATTGCAGTAGTGAATAAGTAATTAGTTAAATTTGGCTGGCAGGCAATCCTTTTACTGTTTAGCTTTTTGTTCTTATACATTGCGTAAGGTTGAATAAAAAATAAACAAATAAATTTCCTTTCGTTGTCACTAAACTAACACAATATTGTGAATATGAGTCATAGTGATTCTTAAATAAAGAATTTATTTATAACTCTATTATATATTATCTAATATATAGGTGACACCTATCGGATCCTAGCATGACTATGAACCATTGTCTTGACAAACAAATATATTGTGAAAATATTTGGTCAATTTGTTCAAAAGCTACACGATCCCTAACAAGCACTCCAACGACTATATACTAGGGATAACACATAATATATTCATAGCCCTCGTGAGTAATTCTGTAGAGAAATCTGATCTTTATTTTGTTATCTCATTTAAAAGAAGTAGAAGCAAGAAACTAGAGTGCCAAGTGCAATGACGGCTCCATGGCGTAGTAGCTTAGCAATGAGTTGTTGCGCTGGGGGCCGCGGGTTCGAATCCCACACGGAACAAGTATTTGTATGGCCTACAAATAATTTTTCCGGGTCTGGATGTTTGTCCTCGTGCAATTTATGTTTGTAAACTGCCTCCACGACACAGGAGAAAACCCTCCATCCTGTGGGGGTAACGTTTTTTAAAGAACAAAAAAAAATAGAAAAAAAAATTCATTCAAATTTGTGCTGGTTTTTCTATAATAACTGCATTTATTTATTTATTTAAAAATGTATGTACTCACAAACAACGGAGAGGACACATCATGATGAAGAGTTTGTAAAAGGGCGCTACTTATCTCATTATGAAAGTTTTTCCAGTAGACCAGATATATTATATAAAAGATAAAGGTGTGCACTTAAAATTATAATATATATATATACATATATATATATATATATATATATATATATATATATATATATATATATATATATATATTGAATTACATTGCCTAAATCACTAGATGCAGCTTGTAGATTTCACCTTAAAATCCTCTTAAAATTCCAATCCTTTAAAGCTCATTCATACGAGTATTCCCGTTCAGTCTCTGTACATGCAATAAGACACTGGAATTCACTTCCTCGAGAAATCTTAACAGTGACATTGTTCGAGAAAACGAGTATAAGAACATTATCTCTGTCTTCTATGTAAGTTTCATATCTTCCATATTTTATTCTTTTTATATATATATACACTTTATATATACTTTTACATTTTTATTTGGAAAGCCTTTTGATTTAGTCACTGACCACAAGCAGCTAGAGATATTGTTCGGATCTAAGTCAAAACCATGTGCGAGGATTGAACGATGGGTACTGAGGCTACAGTCTTATTCATTCAAGGTTGTATACAAGCCAGGAAAAACAAATATAGCTGATCCCTTGTCACGATTATGTAACTATCCTGATAACCCACCAAAAGGAAAAGACCAGCATGTATACCAAATAGTGGAAAATTCTAGACCAGTGCTATACCAATGAGTTCCATTGTAGCATATTCAGAAAAAGACCAAGAGATTTACAAAGTGAAAAAAGGTGTCTATCAGAACGACTGGGACGATTCGATTAAGAGTTACAAATTTTTTGAAAACGAGTTGTGTTTCCATGATAGCATTCTACTTCGTGGAAATAAAATGGTAATACCACAGCAACTCTACAAGAGAGTATTAGATGCTGCATACGAGGGTCATCCAGGTATCGTAGCGATAAAGGGACGCTTGAGATCAAAGGTATGGTGGCCCCGTATCGATAAAGACGTAGAACAATTAGTAAAGGCCTGTAAAGATTGTACGTTAGTGGGTTTGCCAAATCCAACTGCACCAATGAAGAGACGAGAGTTGCCTGCAGCTCCATGGATAGATGTCACAATGGATCTAATGGGACCATTGCCAAGTAACGAGTATCTGTTAGTAGTGGTCGACTACTATAGTCGATACAAAGAAGTAAACAATTACAAAAACATCACAAGCTTACAGATTATTAAAATGGTAAAAGAAATGTTCAGTAGACTTGGTTATCCTATTTCTATCACCGCAGACAATGGCAAGCAGTTCGTAAGTGAAGAGTTTCGATCTTTCTGCAAAGAATGTAACATTAAGTTATTTAGTACTGTACAATATTGGCCTCAAATGATCGGCGAAGTTGAAAGACAAAACAGAGATATTTTGAAACGTCTTCGTTTCAGCCAGATCGAGAGGAAGGATTTAAAAGAATGTTTGTGGGAGTATCTTCTAATGTATAACAGCACCCCTCCTTACAGTTACCGGGAGGTTACCGTCTGAACTGTTTTTTTCAACGAAAAAGTAGGGATAAAATTCCATTAATAGGTGAAATAAATTACAGACAATCATTTAGATTCAGATATCAGGGATAGAGACAAAATACAAAAAGAAAAAGGAAAAGAGTACATATGTATATAGGAAACGCAGAGCAACTCACTCAGATATAATACAGGGAGTTAAGGTTTACGTAAAAGCAGTGGAAAATAATTAATACAGACAATACAAGCTGCTTTGTGATTGTTATGAGTTATAATGAAAAAAAAGAAAAAATCTTTTAAAGAAAGAGATGTAGTGTTTGCATATATGTAGTATACAATAAATATTGTTATTTGTTTTATTTACTTATAATTTACCATGCACAAATACACAAACATACATTTATATATAAGTCACTGTCTCTAGCGCACCACGTCAGTTACACGAGAGCCTCGGGCGAGAGTGGACGTGTTTAGTTAAGTGCGTGCCGAGCCTGTGTTACACTACAGTGATTAGAGAAGATAGCAGACATTACAAGTGGCTATATATATAACTGTAAAATCCCGAATTTTGGTGAATCTTAGGTTTTACTTTTAAATCCTAAGATTTACCAACATGAGCTGGTAAATGTAAGGATTGATATAAAATGCGACGATTTTTCGCGCTTTTACCGTTTACCGTTAGAGTTTGGTACATCCTAGGTTTAACCAAAGACTTCCAGTAAGTGTTGGTTTTGGAAATGAAACAATATATTTAGGTATGTAACTAGAAAGTGTTTATTAAACATTGAATCATAGCGTGCGGCGCCGCATACAGTACTGATAAATGTGCGTGCACCTATAGCCTATAAGTAAGTTATCCTTAACGTTTATTGCGTACACCTTTACCCTACGAGTTATTTATCCTTCCGATGCTACTTTCCTTCACTTTATTTCCATTTATCAATCATTATATCTAATCGTTTTTTACAACTTTCATCGTTTTAGAATAAGATTCCTCTGACCGGAGAAGGAATGTCAAAAATAACCCTATTTTCTGTTTTTTCTATAATATCATCCTAGTAAGCATATTTTTAATACGAGTGAAAACGATCATACTGTCTACCTGATGGTTAATGTTTTATATATTTATATATATTATTTAAATGATAAGACCATTATTAAGCCATTTTTTTTTATAGGAGAGGGGGCAAACGTGAGCCGCATGGCTCACCTGATGGTAAGTGACTACCGCCGCCCGTGAACAACCGCAACACCAGGGGGATTGCAGATGCGTTGCCGGCCTTTTAAAAAGGAGTAGGCTCTTTTCTTGAAGGTCCCTAAGTCGTATCGGTCCGAAAAAATCGCTGGTGGTAATCGATTCCACAAGGAAGTTGTGAGAGGAAGAAAACATCTTCTAAATCATACAGTGGTGAACCGCCAATCATCCAGGTGATATGCATGGTATCGCAAGTTTTGTCGTGATGTGCGATGGTGAAATTGAGCGGCTGGAATTAGTCCGAACAATTCCTCAGAGCACTCCCCGTGGTAAATGCGATAAAATACGCAAAGAGATGCAACATCTCTACGCAGTGCCAGTATATCGAGGCGATCAGACAGAACTCGGTCGTCGACGATTCGAACCGCTCTGCGCTGGATGCGTTCAAGTGGAAGGAGCTGGCACTGGGGTGTCCTGGCCCAGAGATGAGAACAGTATTCCATGTGAGGCCGGATTTGCGCTTTGTAAAGTTGCAAATGCCGTGTAATGGCGGCGGAAGAGAAGTAGCCACCCCTAAGGACTAAGATGGAATGCCTCATACCCAGTAAAAAAAAGCTCCGCGATGTTAGCACCTCATGTGCGGAATTTCGATTTACCAATTATACCATGACGCCGTGACTGGTACGCCAGACCCGGACCTCGATGACACTGAGGTCATCAGTATGAAAGAGATTGAACGTGCGATTCGAAGTTTGAAATGTGGTAAGGCTGCGGGACTAGACAGAGTTACTGCTGAAATGGTCAAGTATGGTGGGCCTCGCGTCTGGGACAGCTTTCGTCTGCTGTGCAATTTGTGCTGGCGGACGGGGGATATCCCGGATGATTGGCGACCCGCAGTCATTGTGCCTTTATATAAAGGTAAAGGTTCACATTTTGATTGCGGGTGCTATCGGGCGATCAGCTTGACCAGTTTAGCAAGTAAAGTGTACTCGAAGGTTTTGACACGTAGGATGCAAGAGAAATCGGAAAGATTTCTATGGGAGGCACAATGCGGATTTAGACCTGGAAGAGGATGCACGGATCAAATGTTTTCTCTCCGCATGATCACGGAGAAGCTTCTGGCTGCTAACCAGAAGATTTTCTGTGCTTTTGTGGATCTTGAGAAAGCATTTGATAAGGTTGTAAGGAAGAAAATGTGGGAACTGTTGCCGGGGTATGGTGTGGATGGACAATTGCTAAGGGCTGTGTAGTCTCTTTACTGTGACTGTAAAGCCTGTGTGCGGGTAGGGCATGACCTGTCACCCATGTTTAACGTCCAAACGGGCGTAAAGCAGGGTTGTGTCATGTCTTCCTGGCTGTTCATACTGTATCTCGACAGCTGTTTACAGAAGCTGAAAGATAGTTGTTTGGGTGTGAAATTGGGTGACATTAAAGTAAATTGTCTGCTGTATGCTGATGATGTAGTGCTTATTGCACCATCAGAGGCAGAACTGCAGGTATTAGTCACGTGTATGAAAGAGGAATGTGAAATTAAAGGTCTCCGTTTGAATGCTAATAAAACTAAGGTTCTGGTATTTGAAAGGGACGAAGAGAGAACGAAGTGTGAAATATGGGTAAATCAGGAATGTCTAGAACAGGTAAATGAAATTGTATACTTGGGGAGTGCTTTTAGCCGGGATGGAAGATATGATTTAGATGTGGACAGGCGTGTCGCTGCCGGGAACAAAGTCAATGGTGCCCTGGCTGCGTTAGTCAAAAGGCAAGGCGTAGCGAAGAGTGCACGCCTTGCAATACATAACGCAGTGTTGGTACCGACTTTGTTATATGGCAGCGAAACCTGGGTATGCCAGAAGAAGCATAAAAGTAAGTTGAATGCAGTGGAGATGCGATCTCTTCGTAAAATGTGCGGCGTTACCATGGCCGACCGAAAGCGAAACGAAGAGATTCGCAATATGGCGGGTTTGAAAGATGACCTTATCACAAAAATTGATAAGGGCGTGCTTCGGTGGTTTGGGCACGTTGAGCGAATGAGTGAAGACCGAATGGTGAAGAAAATATATAGCGCGAAAGTTAATATTAAAAGGTGTCGAGGTAGACCGAGACTAACGTTCGAAGACCATGTGAGCAAATTGCTCGAAGAGGGTAGGGTCAAAAGTACTCGGATACTTAGACGTGCATGCATGAAGAAGATAATGAATCTGAAAGAAGCGAAAGAGGTATGTAAGGATCGTGACACTTGGCGATCTGTTCTCTCTGGCTACCCCGTCAGGGATTGTGCGTGAAGATAAGTATAAGTAAGTAAGTACCATCTGAAAGGTCAGAAATTGGTCAGAATCATCGACGACCCAGTTCTTTCTGATCGGCTCGATACACTGGCACTGCGTAGAGATGTTGCATCTCTTTGCGTATTTTATCGCATTTACCACGGGGAGTGCTCTGAGGAATTATTCGGACTAATTCCAGCCGCTCAATTTCACCATCGCACATCGCGACAAAACTTGCGATACCATCCATATCACCTGGATAATAATGGTCTTATCATTTAAATAATATCTATAAATATATAAAACATTAACCATCAGGTAGCAGTATGATCGTTTTCACTCGTATTAAAAAATATGCTCACTAGGATGATATTATAGAAAAAACAGAAAAAAGGGATATTTTTGACATTCCTTCTCCGGTCAGAGGAATCTTATTGTAAAACGATGAAAGTTGTAAAAAACGATTAGATAAAATGATTGATAAATGGAAACAAAGTGAAGGAAAGTAGCATCGGCAGGCTCATTACTGGCGACAAAGCAATTTATTTTAGTCCTAGGATAAATAACTCGTAAGTTAAAGGTGTACGCAATGAACGTAAAGGATAACTTAGTTATAGGCTATAGGTGCACGCACATTTATCAGTACTTTATGCGGCGCCGCACGCGCCGTACGCGCCGTGGTACAATTCCGTAGCCGACTGCAGGCAGCAGCAGCAGGCAACTTGTCGTTGCGACACTACTGGTTTCTATGTAGTTCTATGAAATATCTTCAGTAGCTAGCGACACGTCATTTGTCGCTACGGGCCGAGTGGCAGACGACACTGTAGCCCGACCGCAGATCAGTAGTGACATGAGCAGACAACAAGTTGAATTTTTCTCAAAAAATGAGTTTCACCGATTCCGAGGAAGGGCAAATGATAAACCAAGTGGCCCAATATCCCGCACTACGATGCCTCTCATAATAATTATTTAAACAGTGTGATAAAAGATAATATTTGGAAAAATATAGGAAAGGAGTTAAATAAAAGAGGTAAGTACCTATTTTGTTTACATAAACAGAGAACCCACAGAACACTCGGAACAGACTGGAACACGGGTTGCTACCGCCTCGGGTTCGGAATCATGACTGCAGCGACATGTCGCCTGCTGCTGCTGCCTGCAGTCGGCTACGGAATTTTACCGTCACTGATCGCACATTGGTACGTACCAGTGTGAAACGGTATAGTGAAATTGATTTATCTATGGAAAAAAAATGTTGTAATAGCCTTCTAATTGGCAGAGCAAGAATAAAATAAAATTCGAAGAAAAAGAAGATTCTGTATTCACAATATTCATTTAAAAAGACAGTTGCATGTCTTGCCTGACAAATCATTGTTGATTACATAGTATAAGTAAATACTCTTGAAATCAAATAAGAATATATCTTGATACTATTTAAAGGTTATATCTACTGAATCACTAGAAAAAAAAAAACACCAGCCACTAAAAGCAATAATTCATCACTAGAAGCAGCGCCGAAACCATCAGTTTTAGTGGAAAATCCACTAAGTTGGCTAAGTTAGA